TTTGCCCCCCCCCCCGTGTTTTTAAACGTTGGTTTGACTCATAGCGGGAGACCAGTGGGCAGCCTGTTGCGCAGCGCAGAGGAGAAATGACGGTGCTTCAGGAGGAGCCTGTAGGTGGAGGCGGGGAGAGTCGGCGTCCTCTGGGTTAAGAATCCAGAGGTAGATTCCCAGAGCCGTGAGGGGGACTCGATGAGGGGATGAGAGGGATCCGGGAGCTCCAGGGATTTCTCCTTTACCGTTCGTGTGGACAGTGTTGCCATCTCTGAAATGGGGAAGGCTGGGGAGAAAGAGGCTTAGGGGACACAGGGAAGGCAATATCTGCTTTGAACATGCCAAGTTTGAAATTCCTATTTAGATGGCCAAGTGGATATCTGCTTTCATGAAGACGTCTTAGTTCCTGAAGCTGTGTGATTGACATCTAATTTGTTTTCACTCAGAAATTACAGCTTTTTAAAAAATCATGGGAGAATCAGATTGACAGAAATAAAAACAATTAAAACATAGCGATTTCATGAGTATGGGGAAATGGGCATTTTGATATGTTGCTATGTTATACACCTTTCTGGTGAGATGTCTCAAAATGGAAATAATATATCCATTAATAGTGGAATAATAAAATTATGGTGAATCCGCGCAAATGAGTTTGAAGCAGCCACTAGAAAATTATAAAGGTACATATTTATGATATATGTATTAAGCATGGGGAGACAGTAACTGCAGTAGGACAGCATTATCATCTTTTAAATATATATTTTATTATTTTTCTGTGTGCACAGGCATACATTTTAGAAGGATGTGCTCCAAAGTATCTGGGGGGTAGAATTCCAAATGATTTTTTCTTTAATTTTTGCTATGGTGCATTTTATGATTTTTTTTCCCCTGCAAGGCCGTATTAAATTGGGTGAGTTTTAAAAATGGAAAGGGAACACCTTTGAAAGTGAAGACAGGAGGCTCGTTTTTTGTGACACTCGTCCTGCCCTTTATCCCAAGAGTAGAGCAGAGATACCTTCACTCTGCGTGGGAGGCAGCACAGACACGGTCAGCATTTAAGCAGGTAAATATCTGATACACAGACAGAGAGTAACTGCAAGGGCCCGAACCCGCGCCTCCTTCAGATTGCAGTCTACATAAAGTGCTGAACGTGATGGTTTGATAAATGCAGAGAAAAATGTTAACCTGAGACAGGCATGGTGTTTCCAGACCAGCAGGTGCAAAGCAGATGACTAAAGGGAGAAGACAGAAGGGGAGAGGACTGCCCCGAGGGGAGGGGAGGGAGCTTGCTGGCACAGATGGGGAGATTTGATCTGCTACCATCTGCAGGAGCTGCTCTGACACCTGAGACAGAAGGTGACATTGAGATTTCACAAGGGTTGGACAGGTGTGCAAAACCTAGCGAATGTATTCTCAGGGGACACCAACCTTTTTGGTCCTTGACTTTGCTCTGAAAATCAGCTGGAAAAAGGTAGCAATAAAGAATGAAAATGCCTTTCTAAATAGAGGTAATCAGAGGGGATGTTTTAAAAAAGGATCTAAATATTTGGAGTTATAGGAAAATCAGCTATTTCTCTCCCCAATTTCAGACCATTTTGAGAGTGTCTGTGATAAGTCCCATAGGACTTTTGCCAGCCCTCTCCTTAACACTCATGATTCTGGTAAAAATTCCCTCTCTCAGTTCCCATGACTTTCTGATAACTGAGTCTACTGTTTTTCTCTGTTTCCCTGCTCAGCTTCTCCCACCTCCTCATCATGGTTCAGACTTTCTCTTTGTCTGTCACCCATTGTAGATGTTTGCTGTTTGTTTTGCTCTGTTTTTCCCCCACTCCTCCCTCTGTTGGTCCTGCAGTTAATTTCCCAGCCACCACTCAGTGCCTAGATACAAAGTCCAACCGCGCTGGCCCTGGTGTTCCACCCTGTGTTTCTAGACTTGCCTCCCACCATTGCCCCACCTCCCCCAAGACGCTGCTCTTCTCTAGCTGCACAGTCTACTGCCTGGCCCCAAACAAGCTTTGCAATTCCTTGGTCCCATTCATTCATTCATTCATCCTGCCAAAAGTTAAAGGCCTGCCAGGAGCAAGGCATGAAGCTGAGCCCTCGGAGGAATACAGGCACAGCTCGTGGAGGTCAGATGGAATGGGGCACGTCACCGCTGCTTCCTAGTGATGAGGCCCTGTGCAAGTTACCTAACCTCTTACTTCTTACTGTAATATAACACCTCTTAGTGAGTTTCATTATTATAATAATTAAATGCTATGAGGTGCCTAGCAGACTGCCGGGTAAATAAGTACTCAAAAATTGGCAGTTCCTTTCCTAACACAACCTCAGTTATCAAAGGCCTTATAATTTTCTAGCAGATGCGATGTTGTAAGTGAGGAGAGTGATATAAACAGGAACGCTAGGAGTTCAGAGAAGACAGCACAGAAAAATCACTGGGCTGATCTTAAAAGATAGAATATCAAGAAAAGACTGGGTAGGCATTTCCTACAAGAATGGATAAAACACCAAGAAGGAAAAGCCCTTACCAACCATGGATGTTCATTTCCGTTCACCCTACCTAATATTGCTCCCACTGCATTCTCCTATTCCCAACACCCTACCCTGCTTTGTTTTTTTCATTTCGCTCACCACCATACCATGTATTTATTTACCTTGTCTATCATGTATGTTCTCAGAAGAATGTAATCTCTGCAAAG